GTTACTCATATTTTGTATTTTAAATACGTAACGGCGGTACATGTATTCCGTTACTCCCCAACACTGCTTATTATATCAAAATAACAAAAAAGTTAAGGGCCAGAAGCAAAAATGAAAGCACCCTGCATAGTCTGTGCTTACACCTTTTGAAAAGTATCACAGCTTATAAAGACTTTTTTGGAGCCGCTTCACATGCTATCCGTTTTTATTTGTTAGGTGTGTAGGTGTGGCTCTTTGATGTTCCTGGGTTGTTTTGCATGCACTGGTCTTTTTAATGTGCATCCAAAGATTTTCAGTGATTTTAGGGAATGTGTGGGCTGTAGCTGAAACTTGAGCTTGCACCTCTAGGGGCTGTGGATTTTGGGGTGTATTTAGGATCACCATGCTGTCTTACAAGTCATTCACTTTTCATCTTTAGTGTTTTTCATGATTGTGTGATGTTAGGTTTCAGAACTGGTATTCCTTTTGCTCTCGGCTCTCGGCTCTACCATTCCCGTGCTTTGTGAGCTGGTAGGTGGGTAAAGGAACCCTCGATGGATGATTTTTTGGGAAATATGCGATGAGTTTTTGTAAACTCAGCCTTAGCACCCACAGGCTACTTAAGGTCTGAGATCTGATACCTTACTTTTAAAAAATGTATAAGCTAATTAATTAATAATCTGACAGCTGAAATCTTTGGTGCACAAATCTTTTAGGCTTCTCCTTTTTTTTTGTTCCACTCAAAAATAATAATACAAAAACGACTAATACGACATTAATCTCCCTTAAAATTTACAGTGTTTCCTCCTGGTCTTTTAGCTAGGAGACCTTATCCATTATTTCAATATTAATGAATCTTTTAACACATTCATAAATATCACTCTGATCATTTTAACAATCAACAGCCACTCTGAACACTTTACAATAATGCTCTGACCTGTTGGGACAGATGCATGCACCTTGGAGATGCACTGTTCAGACACTCTCATATCGGTGCCCCTGGAGCAGTTTTGTAAATGTTTGTTCCTTCCCCGTGACAGTGCTAGTTAAAACTCTCAGGCTACTTGCATCACAGTCAAATGATGGTTGTGTGAATTGATGAAAGATTTAGCCTGGGGAGAACTGTTTTAGATGCTATCTATGTTTTATTTCAATTATAGCTGAGATCACAGAGACTGCCAGGATGATGATAACAAGCCAGCTGACAGTTAATCCCTCAGGACAGGAAACGAGTTTTACAGCAACTGATGTCATCTAAGGTTAAATGTCCATTGTGATGAGGCACTCTTCAAAGGCAGCCAGACATCCAGCTATTGTTCTATCTCCCCTTTCTATCATTAGAGTAGCAGGAAGATGAAAGTCCAGATAACTCTGGGGCTCTCCAATACCCAAGACCTCCTATTAAAGCAAAATGGAAACTAAGGAAGTTCATAAAGATTGTAGAAAAGATAGCCAAGTAAGTGTCAGCGAATACACATACATATACATATACATGTCTGTGCTACCCTCTTCAGCATTGGCAGACATCACAAGAACTGTACAGGATGATGCAATAGAACCCTCAACCCGGGAAGAGATGTTAAACATCCAATAAAACGCTAACGCCACTCCTCTTTGAAGAGCCACTCATCAAAATTGAGGTCTTAACCTCCGAGTCAGCATCAGAAAGTTATTTCTCTCAACGGGTCCTTTTAAGTAGGGAGATTATGTCTGCTGGATATTATCCCCCTTGCTGTGTTTAGTGGTACTGAATGGCATCTAATGAACACCACCTCTGCGGTTGCCTCCCCTTGATGCCCTTTGCTCAGCCAGTTTGCTGGTGGCTGTCTGGGAGATGAGAGGAAGGAGCTGAGGGACAAAGAGAAGGAAACAGAAGGAGAAAAGGACACAGCAGGGGGCTCTCACACCTTTTACCAGTGCAGTCACAAGGTGGGAGCCCTTAGTTTTAGCTTGGACAGATCAAAGGAGAGAGGTGTTGCCAAGAGCACGACGGTAGCAGCAATAGCTGGTTACTGTTATGTCTTGTTCATGCATGGATCCAAGTGTGGTGCACAGGTGTTCAGGGCCCCTTTTGTTTCTCCTCAGTATCACTTGCTTTTATTAAATATGATGAGCTTTTTCACGTCTCATTAACTGCTGCATGTTTCTATCTCATTTTCTTTCAGTCACAGGGATCTAAAGCCAGAGAACCTCTTGCTAGATGAAAAGAACAACATCAGGATAGCAGACTTTGGCATGGCTTCCCTTCAGGTTGGCGATAGTTTGTTGGAAACCAGCTGTGGGTGAGTAGAATCACAAATGTAATGTCTGTATGTACTGAATGATGTTAGATATCAGATGTCCCGAGGGAGTAATTAAAAGGTCATAGTGGAGGTGGAAATGCTGCAATGGAAAGAGGAAAACGGGGAGAAGTCAGAGAGACTAAGTGGAGTGAGTAGAGCCGTCAGGCTCTCAGCTAGGTGCAGCGTTGTCAAAGTGCCCATAATCGTGCTGTGCTGATATCTTCAGGAGACACTTTCAGTGTCTATCACCGACTGTGGTATCTGGCGATGAGCGTGGCCAGGGCCATGGCCACACATTACTGCTCCCGTCTTCTAATATTTCACACTGGGTTTATGATCGAATAGTCACAACCGCACCAGGCACATCAATCCCATGACATTAATGAATTTGCTTGCAGGAAGAGTCACTTTTAAAGTGGGACTGCACTCGAAAAAGGACCGAGGTCTCTTTTATTGTGGGAGTGATTTTCTTCAACCCTAAGGTGTTGGCGGTCGTTGTGCAGGGTCATATTTATCAATAAAAGGCAACACACTTTATGATGACTTTTAAGCACTGGGTTCATAAACTCAGTGACACCATGGATTAACAGAAACACCTCACTGCTGCACTGTAGTCCTCTAAAGCAATTCATTTCACTCTTCCATTAAATTCACTTCAAAAAGATTTGAATATTTAAGCACAACCCAATATGATAGAAGTGCATTGTTATTTTTATTCTCTTTATCACTAGCTGGGCCCACATCCTCATTTAAGTTCGACAGCGTTTTAGTAGGTAAAGGTGAATGGCTTTGACGTGAATTGAGCTGCGGTTTGGCGAAGGCCTCGAATGGGACTGGCGATGGCTCCCGGGCCTGGCAGATCCCCATG